CACGTGACTGTGGCATGGAGGATTTCGACCAATCGCGGCAGCCCATCACAGAAGAGCCTTGGTGATATAAAAACGTGCAGGGGTGAACGATGCCGCTCGGTTGGTGAAGCGATTTCCCAACAAGAGCTATACCACAGAAGTCAGAACTATCTTGGGGTATCTTTGCCTATGCATGGCAAATAATGCTTTTGGTTTCCTATGCGAACAATGTGACTTTGTCACCAAGAGACAGAAAAACGAACTTTTTGGTTCAAAAAAAATAATGCTCTCTTGCAGTGGCGTAGGAAAGGGTTTGCCGTCGGTTCCAGGTGGCACTTTTTTATATGGAGGGACGGCTTTTGTGGCCAGCTTCAGGGTCTTTTTCATGTAGGGACGGACAAATCTTGGCCCGTCCCGGGTGACACTAACCCCTAGCTACGCCACTGCTCCTTTTGAACTTTTTGAAGATGTGTGTTCCTTTTCAAAAGTTATATAAGTACATGGGATGTCATGAGAGGAACTGATGAGCTTTGTATGGATGTCCCAACTAGCATACAGTTGGAGGGTTGTTTTGGTTTGGCGAGGGGTGTCATTGGTCCACTTTAGGACAAACACCTTGACTGGACTGCCTTGAAAATTATGTTACTTATTCTGTCCCGTCGTGTCAGAATGATAAAAACATACGGCACCATTGATGTCTTCGTGGAGACTGTCTCCGAATTTAAGACATGCACTACACTTATGACAGCTATTATAAAAATGTTAATACTGGAGGGGGAGGGGGGGGACAGCAATCAGGTTAGGTAGAAGGAAATAATTAAAACAAGGTATGGTGCTGTTCGTTGTTTTGTTGCGTCCTGTTTTCCAAGGTTTTCCCATACTTTGTTTCAATTATTTCCTAATAAAATATAACATGTGCAATGGGATACGTTCACGAAGGAAAAAAAATATTTATTTTCGGAGAGAGAAAAGAGCATGATGGGTTGTTGCATATTTCCGCTTTCAAATCATTTGTGGTTGTCATGGTTTGGCTAAGTAAACACGGATCGGATGACGTCACTGTGAATTGAGAGGAAAGAAATTATTCAATTTATTTTTAAAACTATATTATTGGGTCTGTTTAAATTAATCCTAATTAACTTACTGGAATTGAGTTTAAAAACAACAAACATGATTTTGGCAACAACCCAAAGTGGTAAAAGTAGGCGGCAACCACGGGCAAGCTACTCTGTTTTACAAAAATGTGAACGTAGCCCATACAATGCTGAACTTTATAGGTTCGTATATAGGTTTGTTTAGTTATCGACTGGTTTTATGAATGTAATCAAATATTTTCCTTTGCTTAACACTAGATCAGTTTAGAGCGTCACGTTTTATAGCGCACATTATTTTACCAGGTTTCGCACACTTTTCAAGAAAGTTCATTGATTCCCTTTTGGGTTTGAAGAAATCAATAAATGCTAATAGGGCATAGTGTGGTGTTGATCCGTGACGTAGAATGGGCGCGAGTCCCATTTAATAAAACATAGCATAGGAGACGACCAAAGAGGAGCTGTCGAGGGGAGATAGGAAGGTGTAGCATAGATAAAGTGATAATTTAAACGAATGGAATATATGAGGGAGAGAGAAGGGGAGAGGGGTAGAGAGAGAGAGAGAGAGAGAGAGAGAGACTAAAAAAAGATGAGCAATAAAAAAATTATTCACAGAAAATGGTGGATAAGAAGCACCCAACCCCTTTGAAGCGCTTTGAAGATTTAAAACAATATGTTCATATACCCGAGAATATTACTACGAGACTTGCATTACTTTGAATTTATGTTAAAAGTGTCTTATGTCATATATAATACGTTTTGAGTGTATGGGCCCCGACCCCGCACCACGGGTCGTTTTCACCCCTCCCCTACACACACACATTTTTTAAAACCTTTTTTATTTTTGTGGAGAACGCAATATTCTTAAATGTATAAATAAAATAAATGCTCTGCTTATGGTAGTAGTGTCCAAACAAATATCAATCACACCAAGCAATACTCTCTACCCTGCACGTATTATGCAATATCAGTTCGTATATAAACGCAGTATACTTGTTTCTCATTCAGGATAACATTTTCTGGTATCTAGTCGTCTGCATGCAGTGACAAAAGCTTCCGAGCCATTCACCCTAGGGCCATGGCAAAAAGTCGGGCCCTTCACGTAAAGAAAACAAAACAAAAAAAAAAAAAAAAAAAAAAAAAAAAAAAAANCATATATTTTTAAGTATCTTAAAAACAAAATAGTGATATGTTAAAACTTTTTTTTATTTGGTCTTGTTTAAAACAATATGTACACATTTTTATAAGCGTAAGAACATCGAACGCTGTTTGACTGTGTAGTGGCAACCGGTATATTGTCCCAGTCATTTATGGATGACCCCTTTACTGCCACTGACCCTTGTGCTTTTAATGCACAGTATCACAGTTGTCTCCCTTTACTGTCATTGGCCCTAGTGTTTTAATGCTGAGTATCACAGTTGTCTCCCTTTACTGTCACTGAGCCTAGCGCTATTGTTCCAGACTATCACAGTTGTCTCCCTTTACTGTCATTTAGCCTAGTGCTGTTAATGCAAGAGTATCACAGTTGTCTCCCTTTACTGTCACTGAGCCTAGCGCTTTTGTTCCAGACTATCACAGTTGTCTCCCTTTACGGTCATTTAGCCTAGTGCTGTTAATGCAAGAGTATCACAGTTGTCTCCCTTTACTGTCACTGAGCCTAGCGCTATTGTTCCAGACTATCACAGTTGTCTCCCTTTACTGTCATTTAGCCTAGTGCTGTTAATGCAAGAGTATCACAGTTGTCTCCCTATACCGTTGCACCCCACCCATTCCATCCTAAACCTGGCAACGTTTACTGCAATCCACGTCAAACCACGTGCCTACATGCAGTTCAAAATAGTAATATAGTATATAGAGTAAAGACAATCAATGTTTGAGGTAGAAATGGGTTGTAGAGAGCTGTTAATATTCAATAGCATACTTCTTTCTTGGTGGTTTTTTGTTTTGTTTTTTGAAAAGTCGATTCAATATTGGAATCATTTGTAAATATTCCAATTGGATGAATTCACAAACATTCTTCTTCACTGATGATCAGTGAAGAAGAATCTTTGTGAAGCAGACCTGTTTACATTCAAGCTCCTAAAATCGTACAATATCATCACAAAATCATTCAATAAATTTTCTTAATAGCAAAACAAACAACAACAAAACAACAACAAAACAACAACAAAACAACAAAAAAAACATAAAGTCTATAAAATGAAAATAATGTACACACCTCAAAGTCGTACATTGCACGCCAAAATCGTAAGATTAAACAGGTCTACTGATGATCCAACTAGTTTTTGTTTTTGACTATAAAGAAATCATTGAATATATATATATATATATATATATATATATATAGGCCTATATATATATAGGGTTACCCATAATCCTGATTGCGCATTACATTTTTTTTACCATGAACGCTTCGTGTATTTGATGATGTAAAATTGACTGATCACATACTTATTAAGCTCACATAATTTTATTTATATATATGGTTATTATTTATTATCCCATAACAGTATTAAAAGTTAATGAATGCATTAGAGATTATGCAAAACTACTTGCATTCACAAAAGTGCCACAAAGTGCCACATTGTCTACGTATTGAATAAATGTACAGAATCTTCACACAAAACTCTGCCTTTGTGTTGTTTTTTATTATTACATTGTAATTTAAAATTACTAAGTTGGCTGAACGGGCATGCAAAGCAAAGGTTACGCCCTGTAGTGCATAGACAAGATTTTCGACGAGTTCTAAAAAATGTATATATATATATTGTCATTTATGTTCATGCATGTATTTACATATATATTGCATGAATAATGACTGTTTGGTCCTCCCCTTAAATTTAGGAAAACAGTGCCTACGCCGCCCCCCCCCCCCCTTTAATTCGGGCATGGTCCCCCCCATTTAATTCGGGCATGGTTGTCAGCGTTCCTCACACCCACAGTCAATGTTGGTTTCGTCTTTTAATTCTAATTCTTGATAAGATAAAATGCTTTTTAATTTTTAGTAATAAAGGAAGTGGTGGTGAGAAACAGAGGATTCGAAGAAAAAGAAGGAGGGCCAATCATAATAATATTGCTTATCCACTGCGACTATCAGAGACTAGGGCTTAACGGTGTATAGTTTGGTGGGTTTTTTTTTTTATAAAGAGGACAAGAAAAGAGTTAACATCTCATTTTCTATAATATATGCTGGCCTTTAAAGAATAGGCCTAAAGTCAGTTCTACACCCTACCTGTAGGCCTTTAAACAATATGCCTACAGACAGTCCTACCGCCTACCTGTCGGCCGTTAAACAGTAGGCCTACGGAGAGTCATACACCACCCTGCCGGACTTTAAACATTAGTCCAACTATGTACAGTCCAACACCCAGCTCGTGGCTCCTTATTTCTTAATATATGTAGGCCTAATAGTCGCCTTTCCCCTTAGTCGCCTAAGACCATCGGAAAACAAATATTTATGAAGTAACAACGAAAATACTTTTATGGCTGGGGGTCACCACAACACGAGGTACTGCATTTCAGTGTCGCGGGATTATGAAGGTTGAGAACCACTGCAGCGTAAAGGGGAAAAAATCAACCTATTTAGGCAATTATAATTAAATTTATAGGGAATAAATTTTAGGATGCTTGCACTTTTTAAATTAACCTAGATTCTATTTTTTCAGAAATTTAAAAAGAAATTATATTATTTTCAAATATCAATTGAATTTATTTTATAAGTTTAAGTGATATAATACTATTTATTTTGTAAGCAATACCATTGTCATTTTTACTTTACTATATCTTTGAATTGAAAAAGAAAATTAAATCATAAAATCGGAAATACCATTGCTATTTTTAATTTTATTCTGTTAGTGGAATGATGGGAACATGGTTGCTAAAATTAGGTGTGACATGCGCAGAGTCACTGTTTCTTGTGCGCGTTCTTCTGTAGTCACGTGAACAAGGAGGCTAGACATTTTTGAGTTAATGCCATTTCCGTTTCCAAGATTTCCGGTAAAAATAACCGCTGTTTACATCAATATTTGCGCGCATTTGACTACGTTTAAGGTAGGAATAAGGTACTAAACTTATTTTTTTTATAATTAGAGACATTCAAGGAGAAATTAATACCATATAAATAGGTTTTAAGTGAGTTTAAGTGGCCTAAACGCCTTCAACGCTCACTGTCAAACAAACAGGATGTTGAACGTGGGGAGGTTAGGCCGGAAGTATTCTTCATAAACATCCGTTTTGTTTGACCATTTCCTCTTCCTTTCTTTATTATTTCTAATTTGGAAAAGGCACCAGTTTAAACAGAAATCACTTTGTCTTTTACATTTCACGTTTCAGATGTTTCCCAAGTCCTATACCTTACAAGCCACCTATCCGCCATTTTGGCTGATGTGGTGGCCTACTTTTACAAATCAGCAATCTCGCCATGTCGGTCAGGGCCGCCACATTTTGAAAGTCGCTTGCTCTCAATTGTCGCAGCATATGCCACCTGATAAAACTTAAAACAAAAGTAATATAATTTTCAATGTCCATATCGAAACCGTTATTCCCAAGCTTTCCTTATACTTTTACTTTTGCTAAATTTTTTTCTTCGGGTTATTACGATTATCCCATCATCTGGTCCTATTTAATTTTACAGTGAAATGAGCATGCGGTGTGAGTGAGTGGTTCTCAGTTCACTAGTCTACAGAGTCTAGTATTAGTGGCCAATATGGTGGACATGAGCAGTGACTTTTTACACACTAATGATAGTAATACATTTTGAAACACTGTCTATGTAAATGTTGAATAGCTTATCTTTAGTGATTTAGTAGTTGGTCCATTTGGCTCCAAGGCCCCTCATACTCATACTATACTTCGCTTACACTCATTTATGATTTGATGATGGACCAATGTTCTCAGATTAATTATATTATTAAGAATGTGACTTAACTTGATCTGTTTTAGTTGTAGGCCTAGTTTTTCATACCGTTTTTCAGACAGGCCTAGGCTGCGATGACGCCTTGATTATAATTGTGTATTGTGTTACAATTTTGTGACAATTCAAAAAGTAGTTTGGTTTGGGGCAGGACTTTAAATTGGGAAAGTTCAAGACAGGAATCTGTTGGCCCATCTATTTTTGACGACAAATTGCAGATTGGTGTTGAATCTTAATTTGATGAAAATCAAACTTTAAACTATCTATTTTGAATTAAAAGTTGTTTATCAATTTAAACTGAAGTAAGCATTTTAGAATCCATGCACACCATAAAAGGAAGAGTATTGATCACTACAATGGATTTGTGTCGATATAAATATATATAAACATAATTCTAAACCAGCTACATAAATAGGGTCACCACTGCCTCGTATTCTAGTGATTTGACCTGAGTCACTTGTATTTTTCATTTTTATCATTATCATTAAGTATGAGACTTATATTAATTAAAAATTAATCTTTAATGCGTTCATTTTCTTAACTGTTAAAAATCTTGTTAAAAGTGGATCCTCCACATTTGGTCATGGTATTTCGTGTTGTTTGTCGCCATAGCCGTTTTTTTATGTTAATTATTACAATTTGATTAAGGCAGTGTCTGCGCGCCGGACGTCTATCTCCCGCACTATTAGTCCGGCGACCAAGTCACATGACCGCCGTAACAAAGTGGCGAGAGATATCTTGTCGGTCAGCCTTGTCACGTGACTGCGAATAATTCAAAACTATTGTTAATTTTCAAATCTATTTCTCTACCAAGTAATGTACTGAGTATCTTGCATGCAAATAATAGAAAAAAACTTAAGTGAAAGTGGTTTGTAAACATTTTTGTTTAGTTTGTTATTTGAGTTTGTGCACCAGTAATCCATAAAATAAATTAGGGGCCAGTGTGGAGTAGGCAACCAATAAAAGTAAAAGATTTCATTTTAAATTGTTACAAAATATTTAAAAAATTCTCAAGAAACTACTGTTGCTGATGAACATGATAATATAAATATAGTATAAAATATTTTACATTAAAATGGGAGAAAAAAAAAACAATCCTATCCCCGATATTGAACCTCAAATCATAATATCGTCAAGCGACCATTCTACCACTAGACCACGCAAGATCTGCCTAACTGCACTTCGTTCGGGCGTGTAGACATTTCGTTTGATTAATCTCTGGAGTGATCATTCTCTTCATGTTATATTTATAAACTTTAAGGACTTCGGTATCGCCCCGGAAACACCAGAAAAAAAGGTTTCGTATTTTCGTTGTCAAATTGGTGACCTCACTTTTTAATTTACCTAGGATATCGTTGTTTTGCCTTTTATAGTCAGTTTTTAGCAGAATGTTAAATTCTACATCCGTCAATTACTTAAAGTCAACATCTTGCTTGTTCTATTGAGAATTCATTTGTTTTTATTTTTTTCGAGTTTCAAGCTTTGAAAATTGAGGTTAAAAATAGGTCAACTTTACTGATCAATAACTTTTTTAAAAAGATGTGTTCCATGATAAATAAAAAAAAAGCGCTCATTAATTTTATAGGTTCATTTATAACATATCCAAAATTCATGAGTGTAGACTAAAGGGGAGTTTCAAAAACAAAAATCTCAGAGGTCACATTTTTAGGCTATGTAATTTGTCATCAACGCCACCATGTTTGTATGCTTATTACTTATTATCGATAGCGGCCGCCTAGTAATAATGCCACTTACCTTTGACTTAGACAAGCCTAAGCCTAGTTAAGTATTATAATAGTAATAATACTATTATAAATGATTAGGGGAGTGGGATAAATAGCCTTTATTACAACAATAATAATGTTTATCTATATATTATAATAGTAGTATATAATTCAGGCCTAGTCCCAACCCAGCTTACTATTTGTGGACCTATTATTATTATATAAATGATATTTTAGGCTATGCAACCATATTTTAATAAATATATTATGATTCTTCAGGTTTAATTTTAAAAAATGGAAAACAATTATTCACTTAACTTTGGTATTGAAATGTCCTATATTTAATCACATATGACAATATTCCACAAGAGAATTATTATATAATCTTCAGTATGCTCAAAGAAATAACACAATTTCTGCCACAGTAATCCTAGCATTACTTAAGATATTACTGAAGAACAATCATAAAAACATGTACTTACCTCAAGCTAATGACTAGAACTTATATTTATTTCTATCAACTGCCAAAGTTGATACTGTCAATACATTGATTTGTGAAACAAGATTACTAACTTCAAAGAAATTACATACTTTTTTTTGGTCATATTCAGACACACATGATGTGGTACTTAAATACATATATAGAGTTTTTTATACTTAAAAATGTTAAACATGCCACTGAAAATTTGAAATTAATATCTAACGAATATTTTTAATATTATTACTTTTGGGAAGTCTACAAAAAAATATTTTAATTAAATTAATTAAGCAATACAAATAAGGGACGAGTCAGCTTATTTTATATATTTTAATGGGAAAATTATGATTTTAAAAAAAAATTGCGGAATATTAGGCGAGATATTTTCTGTGCTTTTTCTCCTTTTCGGAGGTATTTTGTTACCCACATTAGTGCGCCATGGCTGTGGCGCTATGCTCAAAAGCAGTGATCCCCCTCCAAATCGTGGTCCATGAACCAGCTGCGGTCTGCGAGCCTTATGTTGGTGGTTTGCACAATATAAATATTAAGTGTCAAATAAAAAGAGAAGAAAAAAATTATTTTAGCTGCATTGTCACAGTAACTGTCTAATATGGTTAGAATGTGGTTATTCTATTAAAAATCAAGTTATTTATCTACTAGTAGTGCATTTAAAGTACCATTCATCAGTAACTCTTTCTTCCCAGGAAAATGAAAAGAGCAGCATCGCCTGCACTGATGGAAGTGGTGGCGGAGGGTGTGGACCCAAATGAAACTGAAGTAATCACAGAGATTGTTACAGAGATTCCTGTGCAAGACATCAAACGACAGAGAACAGAAGAAGAAGTTTGCCTTGATGATGGGTGATTATGATTTAATAAATAATTAGCATTTTGAGTCTCTTTGTCAGCCCAGTATTATCTTGACTGATCGGGAAAGCTGAACATTTTGATTTCTGTTCTGGAGCTTCATATAAGCATAAAGATGCCCACATGCTTCAAAATAATGGAAATTCAGTATAGGCATCTAAAAACTTTTATTGCTGTAAAAATTAGTGCTTAGTTAGTAAACTTTTGGGTGTCAACTTTGGCATCAGCTTTTGGTCAGAATTAGATTACTGCGTACATATCTCTAGCTAATCATTGCACATATGCAGTTCCCAGTTTAGTTGAAGAAAGAAGATTTTAGTTTTTTTTTCCTCCATCAGTCTTATTCCTCAAACTAAAAGGCTTATTTAAGGATTTAGATTATTAAAAATATATATTAAAAAAAAAAAAAATTATGAGTCTATTTGATCATTTTAGTTGCTCAACAAATCCATGTTTGTATTTAATTTTGACAGCATCATTTATGATGATGAAATCATGCAGCCTCAGCAGCCACCTCCACAGTATCAAAACTTGATAATTCAGCACATGGATATTGCTGAACCTCTGTTAACTCTCAAACGTTTGCTTGAGATCAGACTACAATGTTCTTTGGCAGATCACCAATTTTATTTACAAGATTCTATAGAGGTAAAGAAATTTTAGATGGGGATACGAATACAAAGCAAGAGTTTTATTTATGAAGCTGGCAGTGTTTCTGCCTTAATTTATGGCTCGGCCTAATGTTTTATCGTTAAGTTATTTTATAAATTATTGTCTGTTTCTTCAACAATAAGGAACTGGTTAATATAGAGCAAAACAGTTGAGAGAAATATGATTGTAGAGATGATTAAAATAAAATAATGGACATTCCCGAAATAATACATTTTTTTTGTACTGTGTTATTGTATTTTAAATCAAAGATTACTTTTATTTGTGAATTTAAATATGTCGGTTAGTTCAAAACCAATAGAATTTGTTGTATATAGAGATTTAAAAAAAATGCATTTAAAAATATCTTTTGCAGCTTGACAGTAACAAAAGTCTTGTTGACCAGTGTGTACAAGGAGAGGGAATGGTTCAAATCAATTTGGAGGTGAAATCTCAACCAGGGGTGAAACCTAAGATTAACATCCTAGACATTCTCAAGACGGCAGAAGACGAAGTAGCTGAAAAGTATGGTAAGTTCCGCCCACTTGATACATTCTACATCAATGATTCTGCACATTTAAGTTACAACAGATTATCTGTGGCTGTATGTTTCAACTGATAGCACAATTTCTGTTGTTCTGGACATGCCACCCTACTCAAATGATATATTTTTTGTTGTAAAAGTCAAAAAAACTTACAATCATTTTTATTAAGTGCTGGTAAATGGAACTTCAATAAATTATTAATTAAACCAGTGGGCTAGATCTAGTCCCCCATGACTTGCCTGGATGCTTCAATGCTACCCTAGTAACACCAACAAATATGGAACTGGACATGAACCATTTATTTTGCAATCAACTGGCCAATGCTGCCACAGCGAAATATAAATATTTCATAAAAACCACTCATTTTGTATAAAGTTTCGGTAAATGGAACTTAAAATAAAATAATTAAACCAGTGGGCTAGATCGGTTCCCCATGGGCCCTTAACCTGATTTGCCTAGATGCTTCACTGGTACCCTAGTAGCGCACTGACAAATATGGTACTGGACATGAACCATTTATTTTGCAAACAGCAGGCCAATGCTTCCCATTGGTATACAAATATTTTTTTGGATCAACATTATTGATGTTCATTGTAAATGTTGTAGGCAATTGTTTTTTTTGTTGTTTTTTTCCTTTTACAAAATTTATTATATGTGCAGTGTGCATGGGGATTCGCTTATATTTTAAAAAAATTTAAGCCTTGGAAAATTAAACTAATTTTATTGTCCATTATTGTAGGAAAAGGAGACTGATAATACGAACATTTTTTTTAACTTCAACAGAGCAGGCAATGCAATCTAATCAGTCCCAAAATGCAAAAGTTGTAATACCCCTTCCTGAGGAGTCAGAGAATGTCACAAGATGGATTGTTGATCAAAGTTTCAGACGAGATCAAGAGAGATTGAAAATTCCTTTTGGTAACATTTATAAAGAATAATTGTTCAATGTTTGTAATTTGACACCCTTCTGATTTATGATTGAAAATATAAATTGGGACACTTGAACAACATAATCTATGTTACGAAAAAAAATATGTGTTTGGCTCGATTCAGCGAAATTATTTTTTTGTTTGTTGTGATGTTAACCATAATTGGTTACCCTGGATATCTGAAGAAAAATTATCAAAACAAACGAGATAAGTTTGACTTCAGTCAGATTGCCCTTCAGTAATCAAGTCTTAGAAATAATTAATTACACATATTTACATTATCACTGTTGATTTTGTGAAAGTTGACGTAAATTGAAAGGATTAGTTTTGCTATTCTTTTGACTGTTCCCCCCATTAATTAACCAGTCAGTGTATTGAGTCTAGTCTAGGGTGAGATTAGAAAAAAAAATCCCTTACGTTACTTAAAATATATCTAACAGTTGAAAAAGTTGTATGCTATTAAAGGATTAACTAATCACTTATTTGCTTCAGATCCTGCCCAGTGGAGTGAGCTTCATGTCAAACATTGGATACAATGGGCTGTAAAAGAGTTCCGGTTGCAGAGTGTCAATATTGATGCTTTTAATTTTAATGGAGAGCAGCTGTGTGCAATGACACATCCAGAGTTTGTTCAACACATTCCAAATGATCCCGGTGACATCTTCTGGACGCATCTTGAGCTGTTACGAAAATGCAAATTTGTTGGTTAGTGTTCATGTGACTTTCCTGCTAGTTTTTTTATTTAGATGCATAATTTGTGGGCTTAGATAGAATGTGGGGAAACTAAATGGGAAACAATATTTCAAATGCCAAGGTATCTTTGAATATACCTGCCATAATGTGTTATTCAAAACAATGTATTTGATTGGTTAGTTAGCAGTAATTTTTTTGTTTTAGTCTGTAAATGGAATTATCTTGATCCACATTGTTATATTTAAAATAGGTTTAACATTAAAAACCCATCCACAGCTGGCAGAAACAAGGGCATTTAATTGAACTGTTGTTGTTTTTTTTCAGCTGTGATGCAACAACCTACCCCACATGCCATTACAACGATAACAGTTTCCACTTCAGATGGGGATGGTAAATATGGTGAGTCTATCCTACTGTTACAGTCTTTTCATTTTTAATCAAATTTAAAGTGAAGGTTATTGGTATTCATCTAACTCCAAACAATGTTTTTTTAAAACAAAATTAACTATTTAGTTATAATCAACTTAAATCATACATGTGTGGCTTCAACAAATCAAGCATGAAAAAATTTGATCTCTGGTTATGGGTTCTCAGGCTCCACATTGGGGGTCATTTGTTACCCGGATTTTTGTTGCCATTGGGGACAACTATCTTGATTAGTAACAGGGAAAGGAGTACCAACCTCTTTTCTATTAGGGGTATTTTATGAATGGCCATTTTTGCAGTCATTTTTTTATACTAGTAATCCAATATTGAAAATTCACTACATTACTCTTTTTGCCCTCTTGGATACATCTCAGATAAGTTTTATATATTTGTAACTCTTTGATTGTACTGTTTGCTGAAGAAGGCATTGTGCTGACAGGTTAGTTGTTTTGTTGCTTACTTTTTCCAGGTTTTCCTTACCTTGTTTTACATTTTTCCTATTAGCTAACTTTATTGCAGTCTCCCTCCTTATAAACATACAAAAATGACCAAATGATAAATGTGTTTCAAAACTTTTTGTCAGGGAGGGTAAGATCTGTTGGAAAGCACCGACCTAGATCACCTCGGATTACAGGTGAAGAAAGAATGTCACCAGGAAATAGAACAGGTATTCAGGAAAACGCATAAATTCTGATGTCAGTAGTTAGTGTAACTTAAATTAAATTATTTTTTGTTTCAGGTTAAACTGTACAATGATTATGTTATTTCTTATTCAATCCTCATAGATTGGGGTTATCATTGTGTTACACTAGATTCACATTTAAGATTTTGTTTAAATATTCTACAAACAATTATTTTATTCCATGGGTGCTTCCAGATGTTGGTTGTAAGAAACTGTTTGATGGGCACTGTTATAGTTGAGTTGATGTGAGTTTAATTATTTTCATCAATGACAGGAAACAATGGTCAGATTCAGTTGTGGCAGTTTCTCCTTGAGTTGTTGACAGACAAAATGTGTCGTGAAGTGATAGCCTGGGTAGGGGAGGAAGGAGAGTTTAAGCTGGTCAACCCAGAGGTGGTGGCGCAGATGTGGGGCCAGAGAAAAAACAAGCCGACCATGAACTATGAGAAGTTGTCTCGGGCATTGCGATACTACTATGACGGGGACATGATCGCAAAGGTACGTAATGTAAGTCCATCTTTCTTTCCATTCTTGCTTTCTATCCTTTTATTTATAAGTATGTAAGAATAAAAATGAATTTCCATAAAAGAAAAATTTCAAAAAAAAAGGAAAAACAAGATTTTTACTGCACCTCCAAATCATTGTGTTAAAATTTTGTTTAGAGATACTTCTAATCATCATACTAAATATAGGAAATGCTTCAGTGGACATTCATAAAAGGACAAAATATTACATATTGGCTGTTATTTTAAAGAAAAAACTTTTGGAATTTTATAATTTCTTTGTCTTTCATTTCTTTGTCACAATTCACAGTTAATCCTATGCGCTATGCCATAATCCTTTGTATTGCCCCTCAGGTTCATGGGAAAAGATTTGTTTACAAATTTGTTTGTGACCTAAAGATGCTGCTAGGATACACAGCAGCTGAGCTGAGCCGGCTCGTGGGAACATCTGAGGAGATTTCAGTCGTGGACAGGCGCACCCCCCAGACTCACCACATGCGAGCACGTAACACATACATCGCCACTATTAAATCTGACGCCCATGCGGCCGCCAGGCTGATTGAGCAGCAGGCGGCCACCTCACGTATCATTGAGCAGAGGACACAGGTGGTTCAGACGGTGGACTGACTATATGAACCTGTATGAAGTGAGACTAAATGAAACTCTGCAAGGTAGCAAATGTGAAGATGAGTGTGGCACAAGGGTTGCTTGGCTGGTCAGGTCAGGAAGTAAGCTTATGGAACGAGTTGTGTGCATAAGGCAGTGTGTGAGCTTGTGTGTAAATACATTATAGAAATTGGACTTGTCACCTCTGTTTATAGAAAATGTTGATATAATTACAGCATAAAGTAAAGTGCTGATTATGACAAGAAAAGTTTAATTACGGGCAAGCACACCTGTACACACAGCTAGTGTATAAATAGCAGGACCTCTCAAATTATGAGAATTGTGTACATAATAAATTATTGTATATACACCTCTGTTAGAAATATTAAATTTAAATGAGTCATTTAAATGGAACAGATAGTTTAAGTGACTCAAATCTTAATTGTGCAAAGTGGTGATAAACATTGCTTGATGAATGTTCTGTGTAACAACATTGCCATAGGTCTGCTCATCAATGCTTTTATTTGACCTGTTTAACCACAGAGGGTTGCCACTCAAATGTTTTATTGTAAAATATTGTTTGGTTTAACAACAAAAAAATTGTTTATTAAGTGAATCATTATATAATTTTGAGATTTATTTTGTCCAGCTACCCCAACATCAAGACTTTAACAATTGGTCCCATTTATTTGCAAAACCTACTTCAAATTTTGAAGTCCTGCTCAAATGGTTAGGCGTGGACATGATATGTGTCAAGTAAAATTATGATTTAGTTATAACTATTTAGCCTTACCCCTAGGGTATTTAAAACATTTTGTCTTAAATATTGAAAAATTGGTGGAATTCATTATGTTAATTAATTTTGATAGTAGGGTGATTCATTAAGTCTTCCCTCACCACTGTGAAAAGTCATAGTTAATAATGATAAACTATTTTACATTTTGGAGAAATCTTTTAAATCATTAAACATGATTTCCCTAAAACTTTGCTGTGAAACATGAAAATTTGTCTTTTAGTGTTTATGACTATAACATTTGCATCGCCATCTTTAGAAATCTAATCAGTAAAATATTTTATAGGGGGTACCTGGGACTGTGGGGAACAGCAATTTTGTTATTTTTAGTCCATACAATGCAATACTACCAGCTGTGGTAAATTGGCTATTCCCAGAAGTCAAAAAGTATACAGCTGACTGTCATTAGGAATTTAGGCATACCTCAATGGCAATATGAAAGAAAAAATAAACATCTTATTTTAAATGTTTTGTTTGAAATTAGTATTTATGGGTAGTTTTGCAAGGTGTAGATTTTTATCTCTCTTAGCTTTCAAAGTTTTGACCATGGAGATATGATTCAGTTGGCTATTTTTGTTATTGTAGTTATTGAACATTTATTTATTTCATATGGAAAGGCTGCCCTTTTTTTTGTGTATATTTTCCCATATGATTATAATATAATCCCATCATGGTGTCTAGGTAGTGAATTTGATCACATAGCATTAATGAAAGACCATATGACATAATGTTTCCATGAGTAGATGTGTTTTGTGAATGGTAGGATATTTCATTATGTAACAAATGTAATCCCATTGACCTAATACAATGTGCCTCATGATGAGCTCAAGTGAACAGCTGATGTGAGCCCCTCAACTTCATACAGGCAATAAGTGTATTGGCACAGCATGTATATACAATGATTGTCTCAATTTTTATGTTTGATCCAATAATTTAATATGCAACTGTCCATTAGTGGCTTGTACAGGGATTTCTTAACTGTCCATGGAATCTTGATATAAGTTTTATCAAGATACCAAAAAGGCAATGGGAGAAATGCCATGTATGTGACCAAGGGTCGGAACTTTTACAGCAGCTCATTTATTTTATAATTGCCCATTGATACATTTTTTTCCCCAGTATTTTCATACTCGAATGAAAATATGGAATGAATATGTGTGTAAGCTGCTTTCTTCAAAAATGGCTATTTTAAGATGTGTGCGCGAAAAATAATTTCAGCCCCTACTTTACATTTTATTTTGTTTATTGGTGCAAATCTTTGGACTAAAAAATGATTTCATATATTAAATTATTTGATTTAAAAAACAAAAAACTACAAAGGTATTTTTAAGTTGCTTATGTAGGGTTATCAGCTATAAAGGTTGAGTATTTTTATTAGTATTTGTAATGTATATCGCTACATAACATCTCTTGGCTTTGGATCCTGGTTATGTAAGTGAAGGCCCTGTACTGATTCCAATTTTGTGTTTGTCAAATGAATGTTTGGCTGTAATACTAGCCCTGCTTGTCTTTGCCTCTTTTAAGAGCATTTTTTGTCTTTCACTGCATTTTGGTGATGTTCTAGAGACCAGCCGTTAAAATCACTTTGACATTTCTCACTTATGTTTGTCAGTCTTGAGAATTAGCAGATACCGGTAATCAGTTGGAGGGGTTGTAGAAATGGAAACGTTTGCCATTAAATTGAGCCTTTTCTTGGTTGTTTATTTCAACAGACAAAAATTTGTACCCTAACCTTAGATGTCAGTTTTCTGTTTGCTTGATAGCTCTCGTGGCACACAGACTAGCGCCATTTGAAAAAAACTAATCTAGTTATTTTGATTAAAAATCTGTAGCAGTCACTGTCCAATAGCTGCGGACATTATTTTGAACAATACTTGCATGTTCTCCAAATATCAACTTAAGAAATGAGAGGTACTTTGAATAGAAGGGAAGTTTTCTGGAACTGTCTGTACTCAAATTGTTACATCATCATCTCTTTGTCCTGCATTTAGCTTTATTATTGTCCAATTACAATTTACGAACATCATCTTTTTCCAAATTTGTTCTCTACTTTCATATTGCCAAGACATTTTTCTCAGTTATAAGAGATCTCTAACTTTTGAAGAAGCTGATATGTCAGTAATATTCTTTCTTACTTCAATATATCATGCCTACATGTAACTGGTGATGAAATCAAAACAGAATTTTTGTTTAGGTTTTTGTTATAAGTTTATAAAGCATGAAATATTTCAGATTAACAAAGATTCCTAATATTTGATTTATAAATGGCAGCATGCCTCAGTTTGACAAACTTTACTTAATTATTTTTTTTAAAAGGCAGTGGTGTGGCTAGAGTTCGTGTCCGCTAGGGTGAGCTTTTCTTAGCCATTTTTATAGAAGCCTATATTGATCTCATAATGAAAATATTAATTCCTTAACCTAAAAGAATTAGTTCTATAAAATGGCCATCTCAGTGCAAACAAGAAAGCAATTTGATAGTTTAGGTTTATTCACAAATTACACGATCTTTGTATCTACTGGCCTGGTATCCAGTGGCTTGTGTTTTGTTGATTGTGCCACGTGAGATGTGGAGGTAGGGAGTGTTGTCTAAATCTTGTTTTCTTCTACCCAGTATCATATGATACACAAGTCACCCTAAAATTTCTCTGAACATGTTTTCAAATACCCTTTTCAAGGTTTCTATAACAAATAACATAATGTATATATAACATGGTGCCTATTCCATTTGGTCACTCGTATGTTGTTGCCATAGATGACAACTTTATGTACAGAATGATGTGTGAGTGTACGCTGCCTGTAACTGATGCTCATGTCAGTGAGATATGTAACACGATGTGTTAGTTTTATGACACCTTGTATATTGTTATCTCTGTACATTCCTTTGAAAAAATATAGTCCTTCCCTTTTTTTGTTTGAAATTCAAATACATTTTTGTCATCTTTATGGTTACCAATGATTTACCCCATACATTTTTGTTTTTGTCAATATAATATATTATTATGCTATAATGTAAAACTGTCAAATAGCAGTTTGAAAAATTGAACATTGATGTGTAGAGACTGGACATTTTAGAGACAAAGGGATAGGCAAAGCTTTCTTACTCTCAGATTAGTCCGCACAGAAGAGATAGGCAAAGCTTTCTTACTCTCAGATTAGTCCGCACAGACAGTGGGCATGTATCTAGAATTTCAATCTCTGAAAATTTTCATCATCCCAAATTTAAACCTTTAGAATTTTGATCAAAGTGGGTTTTTTTTTTATTGTGTCAGTAACATTGTTACATTCAAATTTAATAGAACCTGACCCCGTCTCCTTGTGGGTATGCCCCTGATATATGAGGGTAGTTGGGGTTTTTTTCATACATTTTCTGGCCAGTTTTTTTTTTTTTCTTTACCTGAGTTTTCACTTAGAATTTTAACTCCCAAGGAAAGACGATTCGATACCTCTCTATTAAAACCAAGTATTCATGAAAAATACAGGAATTTTAAACTTATGATGACCAAGCTGTTTCATTATTTAAATGTATCTTTCTGAAATATCTTATTTCAACTCCTTTTCATTATTGTAGCACCATGTTTCTTCTTAGGATCCTAACAGTAATGTTGTACCATGGGCTCAATTCATTATTATTCATTCCATGAAAGAACTCACTGATGTCTTTATTATGGGTAGATTTCTGTAACAATCCTTTGGTCTGCTTCTAGGGGTTCAAGTGAAGGTTTTTAGCAGATATTCTCTAGGTATATTCAGTTACTATTGGTTTTTATTTTTGTACTAGTTCAGTACCGGTAATGAAAATATTTAATGACCACCCACAGCTGATGAAAGAGACCAGCTAGTAGATTTGCTTGGTTTAACGTCATGAAGTATGATCAAGCCAGAATCAGAAGATGTCATCATTCATAGACATTACTTTTGTAATTCTCTCGTCAGAGATGGGAGCAACAGTAGCCATTTGGTTCTCATTAACACATAATGAACTGCAAGCCTAGAATAGACAGATAACTCACTTGAGTCCTTGCCCTCTATACAAATTGGTATGCAACTTATTGTTAGATAAGTCTTAATGCCATCATGTGGAGTTGTGTTTATTTTGATGTTTGCCATTGTTTGGTAAGTTAGGCAGCAGCTCATTCGGCCATCTATTAACATGTCACTCATAGTGTGCTGTCACTCTGTCACTCATAGTGTGCTGTCACTCATAGTGTGCTGTCACTCATAGCGTGCTGTCACTCATAGTGTGCTGTCACTCATAGCGTGCTGTCATTCATAGTGTGCTGTCACTCATAGTGTGCTGTCACTCATAGCGTGCTGTCATTCATAGTGTGCTGTCATTCATAGTGTAATGTACATTCAAATTCATAATGTACACCTTCATTACCAAAATTTAGTTGTTTTTGTTTTTTAAATTTTTGCTGTGTTTAAAAAGTCATTAGAGGTGGTAGCTACAAAAGAGAATTATATAAATATGTTTAGGATTTGAATACCCATAATATAATGTTAAGAGTGAATTGTGGTGGTGTTGTATATTTATTGAATCATTGGGGGGGGGGGGGGGGGGGGGGGAGTAAATTTAAATTTTTTTTTTTTTCTTTTTTTCAGGTTGGAAATTTTTTTTTTTTTTTTTTTTTTTAGGGGGGGGGGGGGGTTGGAGTAAGTAATATTAAATTTGTTATTTTTCCCTATTGCCAAGTTGACAATTTTCTTTCTGCTTTTCTTTTGTAACCTTAGATGGTCAATGTCCATCATATATTTATAGAAATGAAAGGAAATAACATCTTAGACATGTTATATACATTTTTTGAAACTGTCATATGTGGCTGATGGATTGCTCTAACAGTGTCATTGAAGAATGGATGGTGTGTGAAATGTTCAAATATTTTATTTTGATTTGATGAAGTCTTAAAGTAAGAAAATATGGCTAAAACATATGTACCGTATATATATATATATAATTATTTTTCAATCTCAAAAATTAATTTCAGCCCTTGATAATGTCATTAAAACTATGATAAGTTTTTTTTTGTTTACATTTAATTTCATTTTTCAATCTTGACATTTGAAAGCTGCTGCCTTATGATTGTAACTGTGCTGACAGTTCTGGCATGTTGAACCACTGATTGGTCTTGTACATACCTGACAAATAAGAATATATTTCAATTTAAATATGAACACACATTGTGTGCTGGTTGTTTTGTATTTTCATTCATTCGTCTCTCGTTAAGTTTTCTTCATGTTTTTTCTATACTCGGGTAAACCTGACTCTTCTGGGTCTTCTCATACCCCACGACAGTGCCTCCTGCACCCCCACCCCCCAAGGGTTGCAGGTACCTCTGGTTAAGAACCTCTATGTAAGATACCAATATAAGGTTTTCAGCTAATTTAGTGATGGCTGATAAATTCAATTGTATGAAAAAGGCCAAAGCAATATGGAGTGTTGTTAACTGTGATACCTTTCTAATGTCACGATTAAATAGAGTCTACCGTTACGTGGTTTTGTCCCTTGGGTAAGGCTGAATCTGGAAAAAATAACTTGATGATATACACATTTAAAAAAAATATTATAATTTAGTTTTATTTATTGATTTTTATTGGAAAGTTCCTGAGCATATTTTAAATGTTTCCAGTTTATAAAACTCCTAATTCAAATTGTATTTTAATAGTACTGGATCCACAGACCTAGGAATATGTTTGTATGAAAGTATCACTCAGAGCTGTACTAACCACCAAGGAAATAGTAAATAATATCGTCTCATTGCAGGTCTCACTTTCTCTCCACGTCTTATTGTATCTTACTGTCTCTTGGTTTCACTGCATATTGCAGGTCTCACTGTTGGTTGGTTCACTTCGCCCAGACTGGGTCATAGACCAAAGGGTAGAGTTGTCCTCCCATTACTTGACCCTGGAATATATCGATACAGACATCGTTACTTGTGTCAACGGTGCCACCAAAGCTGACCAATGTTACGTACCGGTACGTTCATCAACATACACGTTCAGAGTTAACATTCTTAATGGCGGGGCTGCCATTCAGTGCCGCGACTGGGGCATAGGGTTCTATTTTGTATGAGTGGGGCGGCTATGACAGAGGTGTCGTAACCTAAAGAGGCCCCCGTATTTCGACTACCCAAGCAGTTGAGGTCGATTTGATATAGATTAGGGGACAATCCTAAGTCTTTGCAACCATACCCCCCCCCCCTTTTTCTCAGTTATAAACAATTCGCTAATTTAAACGAGTTTGAAAACATATTAAAGATCTCCTAAAAATAGCAGAGTTAAAAGAGTATTTTAAAAAAAAAAAACCTTTGGTATTCTGCTTCCTGAGAGTAACTCTTCATCAGTGTTACTTTTGGTTCCGTCAGCGAAGTAGTTCAACACTGCTGCCCTTCGCGGCTGCTCCGACCTGTGTGAAGATGACAGAGCAACATTTTAACAAGAGACGTTTACAGGAAAGGGTAGATGGAAAGTGTTCTTCGTGTCTTGTGATAAAACTTACAGTTACTGTTAAAACTACAGGTGGAACTATTTCAAACTTTATTTGTAGGAGCTGTTTTACGGCCAAATACAGTTTTTGTTGTGTTTTTTTTTAATTTTTTTTTATAAGAAAGAGGTCAGCTAAACGCTTGACCTGCCCTCCCCCCCTTTCCTTTTCCACCCGGTGGGACTAACCCTTGCAGTGACAGTGGTGGTACTTAAGGCATAACAAGCGGGTTAGTACTAAGAGTTAAGGATGATAATTTGGGAACAGGATGGACCAAACAATATGTTGATTTTTTTTCTTTTTCTTCTTTTTTTTCCCTCGTTTTGCTTCTTGTTATAATTTCTGTTTTAAAAGCTTGTTTTACTTTTAGACACATTAAAATATTCTTCTCTCTTTGAATTATTTGTTCGTGAATAAGTGAATGTATCACAAATTTCGTATTCATTTCCTTTGCACACAAAACCAAAAAAAAACACAAAAAGAAAACCACCTTGTCTGTGAGAGTGCGTTTGTTTTAAAAAGGTGTTGATGTGTCAGAGGCGCAAACCTTTTCTTAGCACAGACGCTTGCAACAACCTTTGTTACGCCAGTGAGAGGAAGAAAAAAAGGTTTGATCATTTCATTGTAACTTTGTAGAAAATGTCGGTGCCGGTTTTTTTTGTTTTTTTTTTGGATTGTAATGTTTTCAATACTTTCAAAACTAAAATGTATAGGCACGTTTAAAAAGATACCCCAGGGCCTTGCCTGTTTCCATAAGATCCGTGTACTGACAAAGCGTGGTGAAAGGTCGCCTCGCCTTTCTTCAGATTGGCCGGGACTGGTTTGAAGTGCGCGAGTTCTTCAGGTGTTAAGATGGTCTGATGAATAAATAGTAGATGATTATTATCACGCACCTAAAATTAATAGAAAATTATAAAATGACACATCTTTTTTTTTTTTTAAGATAACACTTACATTTTATTTAATAAATCATTTTGTGTAAATCCTTTATTTTAACTTCTCTTATATACGTTTAGATTTTAGGGCAACATTTTCGGACGGCTAACTGACCCACTTTCCATCAAATTATCGAGCCGAAACGTTCAAATTTTTAGCCCCCCCCCCCCCCCCCCCCCCAATTCCAGAGAACTGCGTTAAATGAAATGAGTCTAAACAAAGATTTATCGCAAGTGCGTTTGATGCGTTATAGTTTCTTTTTTTTTTTTTGGTGAAATAAATCTGCGGTGTAATAGCGGGTGGGACATTAGAATATTAATTTTAATAGTAAAAAATGCATACAAAGGATTTATTTTAAAAAACTTTGTTTTTAGAGGTTGTTTAATTCTTTTCAATAAATTATAGCATCATTTAGCTATTAGATAATGGCTGATAGGATCGACCTCGTGCTCAGAAAATCCATACCAAGCCTCACTAGGGAGGCAACGTGGAGAACCCCACCTTGGAATACCGGAGGACCCCACCTTGGAATACCCGGAGGACCCCACCTTGGAATACCCGGAGGTGGACCACAAAAAAAGGTGGGACATAAAAAGTGGAGACAGTTTTGGAGCAATTTGCCTACCCCCACCCCCCCCCCCCCGGTACGATCAGGGTATTGTCAGAGTACGGTCAGGGTGCCTGGATATCTCTTGACAGGTGGCGTATGTCTCAGGACTATTTATCGTGACGAGTATTTGATCGATTGTCCCTACTTCGGAAACGATCAAAATATATCTAGCTAAACGTGTCTTCTAGAGGCGTAGAAAGAGCTTTTGGCGCCCAGGGACAAGATTCATTTTAAAGCGCCTTCCTTTCTTTTTTCAACTCTCAAACCCATTATTTTCATCAATAAAATTTTAAAGAAGCATATTTTGGAGCCCCTAACTAGTTTGGCGCCCAGGGAAATCTGTCCCCCTTAGCTATAACGTCTTTGCGTGTTTTCGATTTCACTCAGTAGATCATTGATTCAGTCCAATCTATATAAGGGAGATGTGTACCTTGATCCCTTCCATATCTTTAAAGTTGAAATCTAGAACAGGGAGGGGCTGACCATCTCGTGTCCACCTGAAACAATTGTCTGCAAGTTTATCTTACTGTCTTGTACAATGGTTTATTAATTACATTTCAGAAAACGCGATCAAATACCGGTCTGTAAGCCGTTAATTATGAACGCCATTAAAGTCAAACATTGATACAAAGCATTGTCAAATGTCTACAACAACAGTTAGTTTGCGCTGGCAAGCACACACAGAGACATTTTATGGTTAATCCATACTTGTGTGATCCAGGGATGTATTGGATTGTGCCATTCTCTTCTGTTTGGTCTTCTAAGGCAATGTGGACCTGCAGAGGTCAATGAAAATACACGATATGGTCATCGGGTTATTATGAAACGGAGAAACACAATATTCCTGTAAAGATGATAAATGAAATCATCTTTAAAAAGTGACTCCTAAAGCTCTCAACTTAAAATAAGATCTCAACTTAATACCTAAGCCGTATGGCAGAAATGTTACCGTTAAATGTTGCATTGGCCTCGTTCTGGTCCAGTAGGAGTAATCTTGGTGCCTTGAGAAAATAGTTGTGAAGTTCGGTGTTAATTTTTTTTTAAACACAACCTTCTACCTTCTTATAGGCACAAAAAATACAGATAAATTTATAGTGCAGGGCACAGAGGTTAATAAAGTGGGAACACAGAATAAATACTTAACTTACTTTGTTATATTTTCTACCCAGTGACCTTTCACGGACTTGACCGCAGTCAAACTACCCCCCCCCCCCCCCCCCCCCCCCCGCTCTCAATAGAATCTCTGGATACTCTCTTGCAGCGTACTAATACATTTAGAGACACTGCAACTAATAGGAGTCTAGGAGTCAGTCGGACACCCAATGACTTGTTGGAGTCTAGGAGTCGGTCGGTCACCTAATGGCTTGAGTTGGAGTCAGTCGGACAGCAAATGAATGGCTTGGGTTGGAGTCACTCGGACACCCAATGGCTTGTTAAAGTCTAGGAGTCAGTCGAACACCCAATGGCTTGAGCTGGAGTCTAGGGGTCAGTCGGTGTACCTAGTGGCTGGAGTTGGAA